TTATTAGGCGTACCTAAAATGTACATTTTGTTACATGAAGAGGTTTCTTATGCTTAACTAATGCTATGATTATTTATTCAAAAACACACACAAAAAAATTATGTTGTAAAATATTACATTTCAAAATAATTATTTTTATTTGTGAAAACAGTTTAGCTGCTTAATATATTTGTAAAAACTGCGATATTTTATATTCTGCATTTTAATAATAAATTTCAGAAGAACAGCAAGGAAATAAACATTTTTCTAACACCATAGTATATAATAATGCTGTATTGAAAAAAATATTCAAAGATGATTCCTTGGATTTATAAACATTTTTTACGTTAAGTGGTTGTAAACAATTTATTTTAATTAAATTTATTTATTTATGAACTTAATTTAAACAAATTATTTTTGTTTAAATTCAACACAAATAAATTGTTGGCAACATTTTTGCAGACATCTTTTTTTTTTTTTTTTTCAATATACTTTATTCTAAATTTGTTTTAGCATCCTAAACCCACATGTACATGCAGGGTTGGATATAGTGATTTGGGAGCCCTCAGCAATTCCAACCATGTGGCCCAAAACTTCAGAAATGCACCTTTTGTACTTTATTTTATATTGAGTGATATAAGAAAAAAACTAAAAATAAATCAATCTCCTTTTCTACATTTTGTAATAAATAATAATAACCAACATGTAAAACCTTTTAAATGATTTGTTTTCTTAAAATGATTTCACAACTAAACATGCTATATAAACTATTTTGTTTTTAAAACGAAATCCTTTAAAACCTAATTTGACTGCTTCATTATTGTCGTTGGGGGAAAAGATTTGCGCAGATGTAATAAACATTACACTTTTATTTTTTTAGACCCTCATCATACAAAATATGATAGAAAATGATGTTATATATAATTTATGAGTATAATTTGATTTAACTCTGATTTCCTGGGGCCCTAAGCGACCGGTTATCTTGCTTATTGGTTAAATTCACCCCTGCACGTATGTAGGCCTAGTAGAAGTTTATAAATAACAAACATATCTCGTCACTATACAAACACTTATGCTTATGTCTACAGCTAGCTTACATGTCTAATGCTGATTATTTACAACAGCTTTATGCATCGGTCTGCTTTGTGCTGTGCGTATGACAGCTATAACCGCTTCATCTGCTAATGCGCACACTTAAAGATGGGATCCCAGGCGTCGAGTGGTGTAAAAACAGGGTTAGAGTGTGCTATAATCACCACTTCCATGGATGATGAGCTCACGCTGTATGAGATACACACTGTCTGCCTGTCCGTCTATCTTTCCCTCACCGTCTGCCTGTCTGTCTGTCCGTCTGTCTGCCTGTGCTCAGACGTCTATGTCAGGGAGAGATTTAGACATAGGCACGTAAACATATGTATCTGTGACAAGGCCATCAGTCATATCTTTATTTTTAAGGCTAGTGATTTGAAGACTTGCCCCTGACTAATGACTAATGTCTGCCACTTCAACCAAAAAAAGCTGCTCAATTTTTAGCGTCTATGCTGAGGTTGACCTTTGCTGGCCCCTGCTGGACATGAAGGGACATTGCATGTAGACTGCAGGCTCTCGCTCGTGTTGCGATTGAGACTTGATGTCAGTGATCCAGACACACACAGCACAGTTATTTTTAGCAATAACTATTTAAGTGCTTAGCTTAAAGTTATTTTGCAGTCCAAGGGTGTTTATTTGGTTTGTTTTGGATTCGCCCTCCCACAACCCCCACAATAATGAAGATTTCGTTTACTGAGCCAAGGGTGTAGATTGGCTCTTAATATTGGTGGGGACATACATCATTAGAGCTGCATTAAACGCTTTCGCGCTTTTAAAAATATTTAAAAAGTAGTAAATAATATAAGATAAACACTTAACAAAACAAATAACAATCTCGTCTCATGTTGCAAAAGTCAATTTTTATAGCACTGTAAACTTCCAAACATACCGTAGTAGCCTTGCACTTGACAGCAGGGAAAGGCATAGCCAATCACTGTGTCTATATGTGTTTGGGGGAGGGACTCAAAGGATTCCACCCTTTCTTTATATTTATACTGAGGGGTAACGCTTGCAATTTTGGCCCTAGTGAGTAGATACAGGCCCATAGCCAGACTGGTGAATTGGGTGGTTTTTTTGTTCTCAAAAAGGACTTTTTTTTCTCTCAAAAATGCACCTTTCTGCAGTTACGCCTCATTTTCTTTTTAATTATGACATTTAAATTCTGTATTTTAGTGACATTTTAAACGCAATTTTTGGCTGAATTAGCTTGTTGAGCTAATTCAGCTAGTCATCTTAACCACACTTTTACAGATTTACAATAAAAAATATGAAAAAATACAAATGATTAAAATGCAACTTTATTACATCATATATCATTAGAAAAAAAAAGTCTGTTAAAAGTCTGTGGATTATTGTCATTTATTATTCAATTAACAAACTGGCCAGCACATTCAACTTTCCTCAGTCACAATTTGGCCATTTGAAATGATAAAAAAGCAAACATAATAATAACACAATAATAGTAATAATAATAATATAGCTTTATGATTATTCTAGCCTCTCTTGTAAAAAATGACATTCGAAAATCCATGCTAACAACAATAACCAAATTAGTGTTCAAAGTTACTTGTAAAATGTTTTCTCTATTTAAAAACAATTAATTAGCTGAAATCACACTGAAGTGAAAGCCAACAGAGGATTCTGCTTGGTCTTAAAGCCTTTTTCAATATATTATTTTCACTATTTATGATGGCATACCAGTAAAAATAAGAAAAATAAGCTCATGGATAAGACAAATTCTTAACTTTTAATAGTAAGGGGTGGTGGGTCTTTCGAACCGCCTGAACCTCCCCGGCCACAGGCCTGTTATGCGTATGTTTTAGGGGGAAATGGGAGCTGGAGTTTGGGCCCCCTAAGACCTTGATTACACAAACACACTTGTTTCCATTTTTGTGCGCCTGCAGTTGAAAAAAAGTCAACTCTGAGTATGAAAATTGGGTTACATCAGTGCCGTCTTCTCATTCTCCAACCAAATGAAAGCAAAGACAGGGTTTCTGCTGAGGTGACAGCAGTATTTGTGTTGTCAAGATGACTACGATGATGACTAGTGGATTTCACAAATGAAATCATACAACTCAAGAAAATGACAATATTATTAAATATTGCAATTCTAACCATTTCAACAGCAATACTCATGCACAATAGACCCTTTTCACATTCACGGGTTTCTCAGTAGCGGAAGGCATCATGGTTGGGTAAACTTAGAGCGCAGTGAATGGCAGAGTACAACAAATCATTTTTTTACAATCCTATTTGCTGAAATAAAAAATTTAAAAAATCTACAATTGTGTTATCAAGACTATCAGAAAAAGGAAAAAAAAAATTGTGTGTGACTGATGACAGCAGCCAGAGGAGAGAATAACATCAAATTTACTCTCAGCCCCATACACACTGCATTACAAACAGCTTGCGTAAGTGATCATTTGTTTTTTTGTAATTTAATGCAAAGATGATGTAATACATTCATAAATGCATTTGAATGTTCATACTTATTTTTTTTTATTAAAAACTTTCAACAATTTAAAAATATGATGGCGTTAAAGGCATCACAATAGTCTCGTGAAAAGGGTCCATACACAGCTGATTCAGTGATTGCCTAACAACATAAAAAGGACACCACGTCAGCACCAATAGCCTAGTGGTTAAGTGCACCGACATTTAGCAAGGTGCTCACGGCGACCCAAGTTCGATGTCCGGCTAAAGGCCCTATGTCAATCCTTTCTCTGCTCCCAATGCTTTCCTGTCTGTCCTTCTCTGTCCTATCACATTAAAAAAGGTGAAAAACCCCTGAAAAATTATTATAAAAAAGGACAGCACACTTTTTTTGTCAACAAAAAAGGCAATGCGTTGCGCCTCGCATTCTTAAAGCTCTTGCTCACCGGATTCGGCACCGCACCACCCAGCACCATGCCTTTTAGAATTGTAAACAGGTTTCTATCAGGGTACACACACTAGCTCCGTAAGTTGGCAGCTGTCCAAGGCACCTAGCTATGACTCAAGACACTGGAGAGGGTGCTTGCTGCAGAGCCATTTGAGGAGAGCTGAGCTCCAGCGAGGGGGAGCATGAGCTGTCGCTTCTCCTCCTGTAAGCTGTTTTAATGCGTACACCAACCCCACCCCTAACCCTACCCCCAGTGACATCACTCGTAGAAGAAGTGCAAAAAAGGTGGAGCTCAAGCTTAAGCTCCCCCTCGCTGGAGCTCAGCTCTCCTCAAATGGCTCTGCAGTGAGCACCACTTGAGACACTGTTCATATTTCTGCAATGCATCTGGTGTGTGACCCACTTCAGAAAGGAAAAGTGTGTTTAGTGTACTCGACTGCTAATAGCATTTCTGGGGGCCCAAAAACTGTGTAGCAAAGATTTTATATCTGTAAAATATTTACATAATGCCTCTTCACTATCTGCTGGTGAATAATGTTTACATTGACCCTCAAACTCTTTTTTTATATTTATTAAATGAGACTTTAAATACGTCTAAAACTAAATCAGAAACATTTAAATGGCACAAAAGGAGCACTTTAAAAGTTTCACAGAATAACAAAAACACCACTAGTGCCACCTGCACTATTGGCTATTATGGGTTCTTCAGGTTTGGTTAGAGTTTGTAGTAAATAAGTCACATAAATTCACACATAAATTACTCAAACAAAAGTTTGAACATAATTCAACTTTAAAGTGCTAAAATAACTGACCCCTGTCACTTCAGACTGATCTACAGTCCCGGAAGGTTCAATATCTCACTCTATTGCATGCGGGCTGCAATTCTTTTTTACTCCTATTGTGTTTGCAGTTTGACAACTAACATGTTTGCCACTCGATCACAGTGCAACCATTTTAACTATATTCTGTCTCTGTCTCGGTTTGTGTGTTGGTGTGTGTGCGTTTGTGCATGTATCTGCATGTGTGCGTGTGTTTGGGTGTGATGACCCAGCCCAGGCGACAGCAGGACCCCAGCCCTGGCTCCAACATGGGCAACACTGATGATCACAAGATGCGCTAGCGGCATTCACCAAAGTGGGCAGGGAAAGGGTCACAAGACCTCCATCACCACAGCAATCTCATCTCCTGATGCCTTGTTTATCACAGGACAGACCAAAGTCCACACCGCTGGGGGAGTTTTGGGGGAAGCGGCCCGTTGAAAGGGCTGGGTTGGATTGGGTTGGGCTGGGCTGGTATTGATGTGAGATTTCATTCGCATTTGATTTAGTCCCTCGTTTCTTCTTGGGATTTTTGCACTATGTGATAACGTTCAGTTTAAAGTCCCCCGTGTCGCCTTTCGGTATGCATGGTTTTCCTGCCTATGTTTTTGCTCATGTACCTTTTATCCCACCCCTATGCAAGGCATCTTATTTTATCCTCTTGTTCATGAAATGGCATTTTTTAATTATTATTGTGTGTGAAAGTCAGGATGTTTACTTTTTTTGTATTTTCATTTCCTATATAAATATAAATATATAAACATGTCTGTCTTTGTGCTTCGTAGTTAATGTTGCTAGGTAGATTTGTGTGCTAGAGTAGTGCTTTTTTTACGTCTAAAAAGACAGATCTCGAAAGAGGCTGCTGATGTTGTGGACAAGAGTCTTTTTTTCTCCACGTGCTCTGTCTTCCGCTCTTTTCCTGTTACAGACGTGAGTTTTGAAAGTGAAGCGAGCAGCAGGAAGTGAATATTGAGGTCAGTGTTATTCTACACAAAATGAGGCAGAGATCTAGTTCTTCACCCTTGTTTGCTTTTATTAATGTTTGCCATTTACCTATTCATCTTGTTTCAGTGCAGGATTTTCCACATAATCGAATTTACTCCAGAGTTCTTTAAATGTAGACTCTTTGAAAATTATTTTAAATAGTTTTACTTCACCAAAAATCATGTTTCTTAAGCGCCTACATTTTTTTTCTTTGATTTTTATTCAGATTTTCAGAGGTCATTCCTTTCTAAAACATCATTTTAACTTTTAATATGACAGTAATATTTATAAATCATATACAAGATATTATTTTATATGTCATAAATTCACATAATGTCATTAATAAATAATCAGTTATACAAAATGCACAAGATATGACATAAAAAAGCAGAGCTTCACAATAATATCACATTTGAAATGTGGTTTTGTAACATTTACATGTAAGAAAATAAAAAAGGTGATAATGTGATCACTTTTGCACATAAAAGTGTTCCAAAATCACATTTTAAAGTTGCTGTGATGTTCATTACAGTACGTGGATGTACTTCCAACTGAAACAGAATATTGAGTAGGGGGCGGGGCTTTGTGCATCATTCCCTTATAGAAAACTAACAGTGAGAGAGGCGTGGTTAAGAATATTGTGGTTGAACGTCAAAGGACCGACACTCCAAACCAGAACATAAATAGTCAGAGTTTGAATGAAGATTACCTAAACAAACCTTTTTATGTGTGTGGACTTGCCCATTATTGTTCATCTAAAGCACAGATGTCAAATCCAGTTCATGGAGAGCAGCAGCTTAACACAAGGTGCATTCCAAATCACATGGTTATGCACTATTCTATGCCATTTTGCAGTATTAATAGTGTAAGTTGTGCGTTCACACTGAAAAATAATAAGTGCACTTTAATTAGCCAGATGATGCACTTATTCAACCGCTAAAATGAAGTGTGGAACGATTGACACTTCAGGCACTCAATGGCCGCAGCTTACAAAAACTATCGAGCGCATATGTTGAATAGCTTTATTTATTTTGGATTGTTAAAGCAAAATTCTCCTACGAGAGTGGTTTTACTGCCTCCTGATGGTGAATGCGGTTTTACTCATGGCAGGTATTATATGGTCGTTTGGTCATTTATTTAACTAATTTGGCAACCATTAAACATCATCAGCGAAACGGTTTGAATTTCTGCTTGGTAAAAAAACACATTTTATTTGGGACGACACTAAATTCATATACTATGCTGTTGCGTGTGTAAGTGCATATACAGTATAGTGTGCCATTCGGGATGCATCTACAGTTTAGCTTTAACCCTAATTAAAGACACCTGATCAAATTAATCGAGTACTTCAGGCTTGCTTGAAACCTACAGGTAATGCTGCGATTTGAGCATGTGAAATTCTGTCGTACAGCGCTGCAAAAAGAGGTGGGATTAAACAAGCTGATTAAACACTTAAAAAAGCAAGAAATTGGTCCATATTTTAAATTGTCATGTTTTGAGCCTTGATTGGTCTCACGCAATCAAGTGATGCGATTTCGCTGGTCAGAGTTTACCAAGCTTGAGCTTGGTTTCTGGTCTGCCGCATTCGCATGCGTATGAACGGAAGTCTATGGGTAGAAAAGTCCAGTGTGACCACTACTTTAGTGTGTTGAAGCAGGGTTGAAACTAAACTGTGCAGAGCTGCGGCCCTCCAGGAATTTTATTTGATACCTGTGATCTAAAGATTGAAAGTTGTCAATGATCAGCATTTCATTTTATTTCAAAGTCGATGGTAGGAATTTAAGGGTCAAGAATTATCGGTGGGATGGTGAAGTCAGAAGTTATGACCTACCTCTAGCTTAAACCAAATATACACAAGTAAGAGGTTATTTATAGAGAGCAGATTCAGGTTGTCTTGAGTGTAGAGGAAAAACGAATGTTGGTTTAGTAGAATGTTAAAGATTTATATAGTTGGAGTGTGCTTTTAAACCACACTGTGGTCAGAAACTGGGCACCAGGAGTGTATTGAGGTCTCTATGTATTTTAAAGATGCCAGAGAGAGAACTTGACCAAACCAGCATCCACACAAAACAGTCCTGTGTTAATTAGTCCAACTTTCTGCTTTCTATGTGTGTCTTGCGCTGTGTATCAAAGATAAAACCTTTGCTGACCCACTTTCAGTTTTTCTTACACCCCTTTACTTAATGCTGGCATTAAGGCAAAATACACAGGTAGTGGATGGCTCTTTTTGTAATGAATGAATCAATAAAATGTTTATTTTCATAATTATTTTAAGTTATTGATGCAGGTATACTTTTGTTTCATTATCAGGTTCCGCTATGATGAAATGTGTATTTCTGTATTGATATTGTTTTCGTTTTGTTTTCTCCCTTGGCCCCATAAGGAACTGTGGGGATGTTACGATGGTCTTTGGTTGTAGCTCTTTTTTCGGTTTTTAATTTTAAGCAAGGAGGACTGTTAACTGAGGTGTTATGTTTGATCTGTTTCTTAATAAACTTGTTACAAACAATTATAGTGTGTATGTGTATGTTTGAATGCAGTCCAGCTCATTCATTTCCTTTATCTGTTTCAGAGCAGATCATTTTATGCCCCAAATTGTAATACAGATGTGGCCTTTAAAAACATCGATATAAGTCAAAGATTCACAGACTGTAGCAGTCGCAAGTTTGCTACAGGCTGCTACCCTCAATCTGATGACTCAGTGCACTTTAACTTTCTTTTTTATTTATAAAAAATAATTATATAAATATATATATATATATATATATATATATATATATATATATATATATATCTTAAAGTTTATCTATCTTAAATATAAAATTCCTGATCATAATTATAGTTTTAATGTAAACCTGCATATTTTGAAACAAGGTGTAAAACTTGGAGCAACCGAATATTTAGATAACCTTCATAGCAAAATTTCTCTGGCCCAGCTCTGGCCCACACAATCAGCTTTTGCTTGGCTCATATGCCGCAGTGAATTATGGTACATGACTGGACCAACTCTGGATGCCAGGCAGTGGCCACACATGGACCATATCTGGGTCTAGTCTCAGCCAAGTTAATAACCCATAATTGGGCCAGATATGTTGGTACATATCAATTATTAACATCTGGACCAAATACAACATTTTACATTTTGCCCAAGTATTGTGTGCCACCTTAAAGATGGTGCCATCTCTACCAAACCAGTGCCATATTTGCCTGCTGTGCCAGATTTATGCCAAATCTGGGCCAGAATTATTTCCTACCTGGGTTAATGCTAACTGCACAGTGGAGTTTGTTGTTGTTTGCGCCCCCTGGTGGATGTTCTGTAAAGTACAACACACTCCAAGAAGAGTTTGACAATAAGCTATAGCAAGCTGCAGCACGAAATGAGGTGAGCCGCGGTAAAAAAAAAAATAAAAATAACTAAATAAATAATTTCAAAAACAAACACAAAAAAAACTTTTTAATGGCCACATCTGTACATTGTTATAGTATATTAATGCATTTCAAGCCAAGTTTTTGTTTCAAAAAACTTGTGGCAAGGCCAGAAATTTAATTGAGTAAACTATGGTGAAATAGGCGGTCCTCAATGTCCACTCATAAATTAAAATGCATCATTATACCGTACTTGAAGATTTAATAACAATTTCACTTGGTCTTTGGCTGAAAGATAAAATATGAGCGAGAAATATATATGTTCATTTTTTTTCAGCTTGGTCCCTTTATTAATCAGGAGTCGGCACAGTGGTATAAACTGCTAAATTATCCAGCATTTGTTTTATACCGCGGGATCCTTTCCAGCTGCAGCCCATAGAAAACACCCATACTCTTATTCACACACATACACTACGGACATTTTAGCTCACACAATTCACAGGCCTATAACGCATCTCTTTTGACTTGTGGGGGAAACCGGAGCACCCGGAGGAAACCCACGCCAACACGGGGAGAACATGCAAACTCCACAGAGAAATGCCAACTGACCCTGCCGAGGCTCGAACCAGCAACCTTTTTGCTGTGAGGTGACAGCGCTACCCGCACAGCCTCCATGTATAAATTGAAAATAAAAATTTGAGTTGATAATGTGTATTGTTATCTTCATAAATGCTTTGCCAATCATTATTACATAGGTCTTTAGTGACCCAGATACGATTTCTATCTTTTCTGGTATAAAAATGTAAAAATTGAAAGCCCCTGACATTTTTTAAAGATTTAGTATGAGCAGGTCAGAGCACACACTTACAATAAAGGTTATTCAGCATCCGGCTCAAATGTCTCACATCGATATTTTGATAGCTGACGACATCATAGCCCTTTTATGTGATTTGATACAGTAATTGCTCTGCCATAAAGCCATTTCAGCTATTAAGTTATGCTGAAATCTTTAGGTTTATGCTTGTAGTAATGCGTAAAACATCCCTTCATCATTGTGTATCAGAGACTGCCACCTTGAGGGATAAAGATGAATACATATACTGAATATGAGGGAGAAAGATGAATTGCACAAATATATACTTGGGTTATTTGTCTACAATTTTCCCGAAAATATAAAAAAAATCTGACGTTTTTCTTGTTATTTTGCTCATAATGGACTGATTGAGTAATATAATGAAACTTTTTTTTTTTTACAAGTTTAAAACGTTTTTTAAACAGAGCATGTTTGAAATGAAGACAGTAAAATCGCTCTGTAATTCTAAGGACTGGAATCACCAGACGCATATTGTCAGTAAACGTGTACTTCAAACTCTGTAACAGCAATTGTCTGTGATGTGTCATTGCAAAAAGGCTTGAATAAACTCCACGTCAAATAAATTGACTTGGTGTTTTTGACAAATGAGCTGGATTTCTGCCTAATCTCTGTCTCTGTTTGCAGGGACGATGGGCGGGGAGAACCAGCTGTATTCAAACACACGGGCTACAAAACATCTACACTTTGATTTGGGCTAAAAATGGGCATATTCTACATTGTATAATAAATAATCTTATTATTATAATATAATATTTATTAATTTAAATACTCAACTTACAGATGACATCTTAACACAATAAAATAAAATCTGTCTTATTATTTGATTGGGTCTGCTTTCCCTTTAACACTAACTTATCTGGTCAAATTGTTCATACTGATGTCTGAGTGCAGCTGTGAATTTATAAAGCTTAAAATGCTGTGTTTTAGGGTCATCCAGCACAGTCTGAAGATAACCAACCACTAGATTTAAGGGAACTAAGTAATAGACAAGGGTCAGAAGGAGAGGTCATTTGCAGAGAGAAGAGCAGAAAAGATTTAAAAGGTTGGTTTAAAAGCACACTGTGAATGGAAGAGAACTCAGGGTACCAACTGTTACAAGAATGGTTGAGGCGAGTCGAGAAAAGAAAAGAAGGCAGAAGGAAGCCCTGCAGACTCATATGCTGCTGACCTTAAGTGCAGGATGCTTGGATGCTAAACTCAACTTTAACATATTCAAAACTGTATGTTAGGCTGTTGAAAGCCTTGGGAGCCTGCTGAAGCATCTTTATGTTGTTGAACAACAGCATAATACCTGCTTTAAATAAAAAAAAGCTATTGCTGATACGGTATCCTGTAGGTTTCAATGTTGGTTTGCTGCAAGTTGGTTATTTATTTATTTATTTATTTATTTATTTATTTATTTATTTATTTATTTATTTATTTATTGTACTGGTCATGTGCTGGACCAACAATGGACCAGATTAAACCAGCCCATGGCAAGAAAGAACCAGTTTGCAGCAGTCCAATATACTGTAATGTACAGAAAACCATTTGTCAGTCACATTTAAATTATCATGCTCCATTTTGTTTAACTTTTATATATGTATATAAGACAAAAATATATTATATATTAGCCCAATTATTAAAATATTCAATATTTAATAAATATTCAATTAAATTCAAATATTTGCCTATTAAGTAAGAAAAAAAGAATGATTTGAGCATGTATTTAATATACAGAACAGTAGATAGAGAAGCACAGTAAATGCTCCTCTTTGCCTTTACAAATCCTGACGATGGAAATGCTAATGTTTGAAAAACATAATTTCTAAACTCTTTTCTAATGAAATATTTTGTCAGCGTCATCCTTAAATCCATTACTATACAGTCAGCTCCACAAATATTTGGACATCGACACTAAATTTATATCTAACATGTTTGGTTCTATACACCAACACAATGGATTTGTTATGAAATGAACATGTGCTTCAATTGCAGACTGTCCGCTTTAATTTGAGGTTATTTACATCCAAATCAAGTGAACGATGTAGGAATTACAACGGTTTGCATGTTTGCCTCCTACTTGTTAAGGGACCAAAAAATGGGACAATTGGCTTCTCAGCTGTTCCATGGCCAGGTTTGTTCTTCCCTCATTATCCCAATTACATTGAGCAGATAAAAGTTCCTGAGTACATTTTAAGTGTGCTATTTGGATTCTGTTGCTGTCAACTCTCAAGATGAGATCCAAAGAGCTGTCACTATCAGTCAAGCAAGCCATCATGAGGCTGAAAAAACCAAAACAAACCCATCAGAGAGATTGAAAAAAAAACATTAGATGTGGCCAAAAGAACTGTTTGGAACAATCTTAAAAAGACAGAATGCATCAGTGAGCTCAACATAAAAAGACTTGGAAGACCACAGAAACAACTGTGGTGGACAACCAAAGAATTCTTTCTCTGGTGAAGAAAACACCCTTCCCAACAGTTGCCCAGATCAAGAACACTCTCCAGGAGGTAGGTGTTTGTGTGTCAAAGTCAACAATCAAGGGAAGACTGTAAACCATTGGTGGGCCTCAAAACCAAAAAAAGTCGACACATTGGATGTCGTTTCACAGAGCAGATTAACCATGACCGAGAGCAAACTGCAAAAGCAACCAAAGAGTTTTGAAGAAAAAAAATGGAATTTTATACAATGGCCAAGTCAATCCCATAAGCTGAATCCAATTGAGCATGCATTTCTCTTGCTAAAGACAAAACTGACGGGAAAATGCCCCAAGAACAACAAACAACTGAAGACTGCTGTAGAAGCATGGCAGAGCATTACAAGGGATGAAACCCAACACCTGGTGATGTCTTTGTGTTCCAAACCTCAGGCTGTAATTAACAGCAAAGGATTTGCAACCAAGTATTAAAAAGTGAAAGTTTGATTTATGATTATTATCCTGTCCCATTACTTTTTGGTCCCTTAACAAGTGGGAGGCACATGTGCAAACTGTTGTCATTCCTACACCGATCACTTAATTTGGATGTAAATACCCTCAAATTAAAGCTGAAAGTCTGCATTTAAAGCACATCTTGTTTGTATAGAGTGCAAAATGTTAGATTTGTGTTGATGTCACAATATTGATAGACCTGACAGTATATAATGCTACAGGCTACATCATTTAGGTTACCTTTTCTGAGTTCGATTTCTGAAGTTGTGACTAGGCTACTCAAATCTGTAGAAGAAATGTTTAATAAAGACAATTTTCAACGTTTAAATTGTTGATTTTATGTTGGGATGGCGAAATTA